ACTAAAAATGTTTTCATTTTTATTTTCGTACAGAAAATAAAAACGTTTTAAAACCAATTCTAAACGCACCCTCTGTTTCTCTAGTACGTGTTGTATTTTCTGTAAATTACGGCAGCCACTCGAACATTTGTCGTTATGTCCTTGGATAAGAATGGCTCCAATGATAACATCAGGAAAAGAAGCGTTTATTGTTTTGGAATGACGCTTAAGCAACTCATCGTGAAGTGTCACAACTCCCCATTCCTATCTGGATTACCACCTCACCATTGATAATATCAACTTCTCCTAGATGACCATGTTAATCTAGAAAACAGTTCATCAAAAACACGTGAATAGGAGTTTTTTTTGGCAAAAACCAAGGCAATTAATCCCGTTTTTATTTTTTATATTTTTTGAGAAAAAAAAAATAAAAACATTTCTAAAATAACGTTTGACACAATAAAAATAAAAAATAAAAATACAAATAATTTTTTAATTTAGTGTAAAATGAGAGAGAAATAAAAAATGACTTTTAGTCGTTTTTCATTTTTTGTTTTCGTTTTCTCTTCTCTCGAGCAGAGCGAGACATTAATGAATTTTTTTATACTGAAAATAATCTCTTGATAAAACTACCAAACGCATTTTTAAAAATAATTTATGTTTGAAATTAAAAACGTTTTTATCTTCATTTTCATATAAAAAATAAAATTATTTTAAAATGAGTTCCAAACGCGCCCCAAGCATAAAATTTTTAACTTTTAACTTACTTTTGCTATTCATAAGTTCACAACAAATGGGCATAAGAGGTAATCTTGTTTTCAATTCTCAGGAGCTGGTGTGGGCAGATTTTGCTCAGCAACTATGAAGTGACTTGCAAGTAAATAATTGAGCACCATGTTGTCATTGAGAGAGAGAGAGAGATGATCATGACCTGATCGTGGCCGATTTCACTCACCTCCAAGGGTAACTGTTAAGTATTCATAGAAAAAAAAATGCAACTTTTAAGTAACTTGAAAGTTAAAAATCATATTAAAAAAAGAAAAATTTTCTGTTACGCCTGACGTATCAATAAATTAAATTAAATTATTTAACAGTTAGATCTGCATACCTTTTAACTTTACTTTTATGTGATTTTATACAGATGTGACGAACTTAAAACCTAACCTATCAGTATGTTTACGTACCTCTAAAAAAAAGGTTAAAAATTGAGCATCATGTTGTTAAAAATTGAGCATCATGTTGTCATCCACATGAGGCTGAGAATGAGAATCCGAACGGCAGAGACACCAGGCAGATCACGTCGTTGGGATTTTCATCAAGACACCCAAAAAAAAAAAATGCTGAATCAATCTAATAAGATCGGTTTTCTCATGCTCCGTAATAATGGGAAACAAAAACCATAACTACAGACAATATCACGTCTAAGCATATCCACGCAATATGGTACAACTTTAAAAGAGCAAAACAGATTTTAACTGCTTCATATCTGCTGCTAAAACATCTTGACTAGGCAGAAATTGAAAAGGAAACAAAACATCTATCTCCTTCTACGTTTCCTGCGTTTTTCATCCTTTTTGCTTTTGCTTTCATCAGAACTTGATGATTCTTCCGACTCTGAGCTAGCTGAATCAGAATCCGATGATCCAGAACTACCAGCTTCATCGTCTGATTCTGACTCAGACACGTGTTTTTGCTGTTGCATGATAAGGTTCGGCATATTTTTCAAGTACTCGCGCAAGTTCTCTGTGATGCCACCAAGCCCAATAGATGTAAAAAAGTTGATAGCAAATCGCGTGTTCTTTGGATTGTCCTTTGGGAAAATAGATTCGAATGAATCCTGCATTGAGGGATCATTCAGCCGCTCATTTAACAAACGGAGGCCGAGATGCTCCGATAATTCCTGCATCAAGAATGACAACAAAATTATTATATTGCTCCAATCATAAAATAAATTTCCACTAGAGGCAAAGCAGCAAACCAAACAAAGAGTTGAACAAAGAAACATGTTTCCAATATTACCTGAAAGAGAATCTTAATAAAGATTCGAGAAGAAGAAGTAGTATCCTCCTCCGTCAAGCGTATATAAGCTAAACAATGCCAAGGCAGAGCATCTGTGCCAAGTAAATGAGCGAAAAACTTCGCAACATTACGTAGTTTATTGGTTTCAAGCCGGTGAATCATAGAGTACTGCTGCACAAAGCATTTCTCAAAATTTTCCTGGTGTACTTTGTTGATCATGCAGAACCGCTGCCCCAAAAGACCGTAATATCTGAGGTAGGTTCTTTCTTGGCTGCAACATTCCAAAAGCATGATGCACAACTCCATCTGCATAGTGTACGCCAAAGAAGGGAATTTAAACTTTTTCCGGGATCGTATAGATACACGTGAAATACGTAATGAAATGCTCCAGCAATTAGTTAAGCGAAAGCACAAAAGCAACTTAAGTAACAAGAAAAGCGAATTACAAAGCTTTAAGCAACTAGTTAAAAAATCTACAAACAGGAAAAACAAAATAGAGGAAAATGCAATAAAATATATTGTTAGGCGGCATAGATCTGGATTGCAAAGGTCCGTTAGTTCATAAAGTATGTCCACTCCAGAAATTATTACAATCGCATTTCTGTAGAACAGAAAATTAAAGTTCAAGCCCAAAATATAGAAAATCTATACTACATCTCCTACATAGCAAAAACGAAATTGAAGAAAAACTGAAAAGTCAACAGAGGTTTTTTATAACTTACCTCCTGACCCGGCTCTAGTTTAATTTTGAGGAGCTTATGACCAGCTTCCTCAAAGTCTACACTGGACATGATTGTCAAATAAATTGTTCTTCGAAGATTTACAAGGTTTGTCTCTGTCTCGTCCTTTATTTGCATCTCCTCATCTTCCTCTTCCTCAGAGTCATCATCATCGTCATCATCCTCAGCATCTGAAGACGTATCAGAACCTTCTTCGTCCTCAGACTCCTCTCCAAGTATGTTTTTCCTCAATTCTTCATAACGCTTCTCATTCTCACTGTAATTCGGGTCTGGTTTGAATAGATCTGTACAAGAATAGTGAAGGGTTAAAATCCATAATCATGTATACAACAAGTAGGTCAATCAAGAAGCTGCTAATGAGTTGACATTGTAAGACATACCAAGTGTGATTTCTGGATCTATCTCTTCTTGAAGAGAAATCTCATGCGTCAACTGATCTTCTTGCTCTACAAGATCTAGTTCTGGACGGACAGCTGGGTACCCCTGTAATTGCATATATCACAAAACACATTGAGTCCTAGATAGTCCCTTTGCTACATATACTCAAACTTCAATGAGAACATCATATACCTGAAACTTGGCCTTCCTTATTGCAAACAAACCTTCAATCAAAAATTGAACCCTTTTGTCTATTTCTCCTTCGTGAAGAATGCCGCGGAAGCGCTCAAAAATTCCTGCAAGGATAACAAACCGAAAGAGTGATATCAAAAACAACTACTGAGGGGGGGGGAGATGAGCTTCCAGTATACGTTTGTAGGAGGAAGCATAGACACGTAAAATAATAAACAGATAAAATCACACAGCATAGCAAATAATTCCAATTCCAAAGAAATCATACCATGCAATCCTTTAGGTGAAAGGTCCTGCAGTATAGATCCGCATTCAGTCACAAAGCCCACGGCAACTTCAACACTGTCATCGGTAGGGTTCTCCAGCAGCACAGTAAGCAATTCTAAAGCAACAATCTCGTGGGCCACTTGCTGGTTTACCAAATGTGCTATAAATTTAACAGCAGCGAGTAATTGTGGCTGGCCAAGAAACAAATAAATATTAAATATAAGAGCAGGTATAAACCTATGTCAAGACATGTTTACATACTGAAAGTCAGCCGTTAATTAACAAAAGAGGGGAGAAAATGCACCTTGTCATTACGCTTATATGCTCTTTTGAGCTGCAAGACAATCCTTCTCAATATAAGCTCGCCAACCTCCGGAAATTTTGTGTTGACAACAGCAACCAAAGCAGCAAAGACATCCGTAAATCCAGGAGATGCCATTTGTGATTTCATACATGAGCGGCAGAAAAGACCCCTACCCCGAATCAGATTCTCCGAAAAGAGTTCAGGAATAATATTCTTTATATTAGTAGCGTTGACCTTGTTCACAAGCCCATTTATGCTCTTCCGGAGAGCATCCCAAGTTAAACGTTGGTACTCAACACTGCTTTTGTCTTGGACCTCTTTCATCATCCGAGCCAACTTAAATGGGGGAACGTAAACCCCTCCACTCTTACCCAAATTTGACGCATCAGCGCTCAAATTGTTTTCTACTGTTGACTGTCCTTCAGGTTTTGAATTTTCAAGCAGCTTCCCATTTCCGTCACTTCTCTGCCTCAAACTCTGACTATCTTCACGTTGTTCTTTCTCATCCTTATCTCTGTGATTTCTCAAATCTCTTTCATCTTCCCTTCTATGCCTCCTCTGCTTGTTGTCCCCTTTCCTGTCCCTTTTCCGATCTGTTCTTTGCTCCTCCCTATCATCTTCGTCCTCCAAATAGTGGCGCGAATGCCTATCCCTGTTTCTATAACCATACTCAGTTTCTTGAGTTCTACCGTCATTGTCATATCGACGAGTCTTCTCCTTTTCCCTCCGATCTCTCTTAATTTTCTGATCATCTTCTTCAGAACTTTGATGAGATTCTCTCACCATATCATCCTCCTCACTCTCTCGCTTTTTGTGCCCATTATCCTGCTGACGGGCTCTTTCTCTTTCTCGCAGGCCCCTTTCTTTCTCCACCTTCTCGTCATCTTCATCGTAACTTCTCTGAGATGGCCTCCTGTCTTCCTGACCACTTGCTCTCCACCTGCCTCTATCCCTAGCATCGGTTTCCCTTTCCTTATCCTTGTCATCACTATGACGGCTTTCCCGTCCCTCATGTCGTTTCCTCCTATTCCCCCTATCAGAATCCGAGGAATCACTTTCATCTCCACGACCACGACGATCATACGACCTCGAATCCCTTCTACTACTACTACGATGATGGTGTCTATCTTTCTCATTTCTCGCGTCGTCATCACTTGATTGACTACTACTGTGCTTTCTAGCCATCGAAATTCAATGTTCGTATCTCCAAGCACTGGAAAAAACCAGTGAGGAAACCCAAGCGATACTTCAAATTAAAATCCCTAAAATGACAAACATAAGCAAGGTTACAACTTTTAGACAAAGAAGTTGAATTGAGACTCATCACTATGGCAAAAGATGAAAATAGGAAACTAGGGATAATAGAAAACCAAGCACAAAAAAAAAAATAAAATAAAGGAAAGACCTAATTGATTAAGAAACTTCAGAAATTCAAATTACAATAATAAATAGGAAAAACAGTCGCGATGTGTGCGCTATATTGTTTGGTTATGAAGGTTTACGAAGGTAATATATAAAAATCAAGTCCTAACTGCAAAATTAACTGAAGAAAGTATATTAAAAGAAAAATATAGGGTTTACTCTTTCTCGAAAGCAATGAAGTAGAAGCACAATGAAACAAAATTGTATTCGAAATTTGTTTTAGTGCAAAACCAAACAACATTCTGAAAATCCGAGTAACATGGAAAGGATAAGACGAAGCGAGAAAATGGTAACAAACGAAATCGAAAGTCATCAAATTGAAACGAAAATCGAAACACAAAATGATTAGGGTTCAAATATCACAAAATCCCACGCTCAATTAAACCCTAAACAGAAGAATCGAAATAAAATTGCCACACCAGTTATAGTTAGCTTGGGGATGACGAAACTCAATTGTGGAGGTAAAGCTGGGTTGGATCTGATCAGAGGAAGTTCGATGGGGCTTTAGGGTGGTACTCAGTTGGAGTCGGCGAGCGGAGAGAGAGTGAGAGGAGAAAAAAAATCAGCGCCAGAGTTGGAGAGGGGTTATTTGTGGGTTTTTCACCCCCTAATTCCAAGTTTTGTTGTCGTTGTTATGTTTTCATTTGTCGTTTTTGTACTGTGTTGTTTTCGCCAAGTGATTTAGGTGTGTGTCGTTTCTGTCTCCGGTATTTCTTCCAAGGGAGAGAGGTGGGGGGGAATAGAAGAGAGGAAGAACAACGCCGTAGTGTAAGCCAGAGAGAGGTTATTTGTCGTTTTTCCTAATTCAAAGTTTTGTTGTCGTTGGTACTTTTATTTGTCGTTTTTATTGATTAATGTCGTTTTCCCCGGGTGATTTAGTTCTTTACGTGGATGGCGCGGTCTTGTTCACTGTTTTTGTTCTTTAAAATATCTATTTCTTCCCATTCAAGAAGTCTCCTTTCTCACTCACTCGCAGCTCCAACGACCAACTACAAGCTACCCCCACCTTCCGTATTTCAGAATCGAAAACAAATTAAGGTGATTCTTCTTTGTATAGCTCATTTCGATTGTTTGTGAGCGGTGATATTCTGGGTTTGTTGGGGTTTTTTTTCCTGAATTTATTTTTATGTCCCAATTCTAACAACTTAGGAGATTTCCAAATTCATCATCTTGAGTATATTTGGAAAATTGATTATCTTGTTCAATTTTGAGGCTTTCAACGCTCAATCTTGGATTCTGATGCTAAAACTTGTCATATATTGTCAGCAAAAAGGAGGGTCATACTCGTATCTGCAAAAGAGGCCAAAAAAAAAAAGTTTCAGCTTCTGCGAAACAAAAAGGAGATATTATGAGCAGCTCGTTGCCACGCTTTCCTGTGCCTCATAAGACGCTCTCTTTGGAAATTAAGGTTTTTTTTTTCCCTCGTCAAATATGTTTATTTGAAGTTGATATATTCAGGAATTTGTCAATAAATAGGATGCTTTATCATCTTCTGATCCTTCTACGTCATATCTTGCATTGCAAAATGTTCTCTTTTTTTAATTAAAAAAAAGCAAAAAGTTTTGGTTATTGAAACTGTAGAGAAGTATGAATGGTTCAAACAACTAGTTTATTTGTATTGGTTTTTAATTCTCATGGCATATGTTTCATAGCAAAGTGGTTTTGGTTTTTAATAAGAAGTTTTGCTGGTCTAAAGTATAGAAAAGAATGAAAAGTTAAAAAACTATTTGATTGTGGCGCGTGTCGGTGTTTCGAAGTCTCAGTGGCATAGATTGTTCTTTGCAGGGGAAAAAGACAGATATTGTCATCTGCAGTTATGATGATCATTTCTTTGTAAGTTCTTGATCCCAGTATCTGTTTGGATTATGGTTGTGGAGTATTCGCTGTTTATACTTAACTTCAATGTTATATGGGTTGCACTCTCTCTCTCTCTCTCTCTCTCTCTCTCTCTGTCTTTCTTTCTTTCAGATTATAGCAACTCAAATAGGAACTATGGGCACAATACTGCACGCCAGGTCTGTATATTATTCTTACGATGTCTGATTAAAGCTTGACTATACTTAATTGATTGATTTTAGCATCTAAAGGTGGATATATTTCACTTCCAGGAAGGATGAAGGAGTCTTGACCCAACCAACATTCGACGTGTCTGTTATTTTTGGCAAAAGGGACGAAGTAAGCTAGGATCTTGAATTAGTAGTAGTAGTAGTAGTAGTAGTAGTGTTTCAACTTAAAGTTTGATAACTGATTTATGCTTATTTTTAACTTGCTGCAATTGGTGCAGCCAATGCTAGTGGCATGCGCTCGTCAGCTGATAGAGCACATTAGGTAAGTGTCATTTCCAGTTCGACATATTAGATTTAGAGGTATTATATCTTTTTTCCTACATCATATGCTTCATTCCCTGGTTTCATCCAATCATTTTTGCAGTGTGTCCGGTGCTGCCAGGCCGTTAGTCCTCTCTCTTGGCCTGAAAGACCATTCTGCGGTACGAAAACTAACGGAATCTGTTGGAACTAACTTGGTTGGTTAGATATAAAGTAGAACTCCTGTTTCATGATCTTTTTGCTAATTTAATGCAGGAGACACTGAAGGGTATTGTTACTGCCGTGGTCGAGAATCGTCTTTGGTGACATGATGTTGCTTCAATAGTTATTAGAGGTAAACGTTGATGGATTAGCTATTGCTTGTACAAGGACTGCAGAAGAACGCAAAAGGCCTTGTTGGCACTTTCTAGAACCCATTTTGGTTTACGAAGAATTTTAAATTTCTAGAACAGATTTT